TCATTTATTTTATGTAAAGCAACTGTTTATTACTTTCTTTCTTACTTTTTTTCTATTAGTAATTTGACTTTTTTGAATTTCCTCTTCATCTTCAGTGGTGTCATCTTCAAAGAAGATACATATAGATTCTCCATCATCAAATTCACTTTCATCATCACATACATTATCATCTTTAGCAAAGACAATAAAACTGTCTTCACTTTCACATTCTGATACATTCCTAAATCTAACTGGATGTGAATCCTCAAGTGAAGAACTGAGAGTTTGGTCAGCTGTGACTACTAGGGAATTTGTGTTTATCACTAATGGCATGCTGCTTTTAAGAGTGGGTGATGAATGGGCAATATTTCTACAGTTTTCCAAAAATACCAACTTTTCTGAATTTAAGAAATCATCATCATAACAGTCTCTATTTTCACTTTTACAATTTTTTGTTGTGACCTCATCCAAGTCATCTTTTATGTCTATTTTGTTTCTGTTCCAGTCTTTATTATGTTGCCATCTCCTATTTGTGTCTCTGTTGTAATGTTTTTTCCTCTCCTGGGCAGCCATCCTTCTTTGTTTTTTCTTTTTTAAACTGTTCAGCCTGTTGACTTCTCTGGAATATTTAGAACTGCCCAGATCATAATCATCCATTGTTTTATATTTCCCTTCAGTTTTCATTTTTAGACAAGGCTTAATTGAATTTAATGTGCTTCTATCAGCAGTATCACAGCAGGTTTTTCTATTTTTTGTACTATTTTCTATGCTCTCATTAACATTCTTTGTTACAATACAGTGGGATTCTTCATTAGTTACCAAATCACAGTCATGGATGTCTTTTTGAATGCTATTGTTTTTGTTGTAAGAGTTATCAGCTTCATGAGTAGAACATTCAATCATTCCCAGATTTTGTTCTTGTTCATCAGGACCCTTCCATGATGAGAAGAAACTTTTAATAAGATCAATCAAATATGTGTACATATCTGATATTTTATGTGCATTTCCATCAACAGGCTGCATGTTTGTAGGATGAAAATGACCAATTCGGGCATTTGAAAAATTGGTATACGCATTTGTTGCGTCTAATGAAGGCCCTACTACAAAATCTTTCAGGCCTTCGCCGAAATTCTGGTTACATGCTTTTTGACTGAAATATTTGTTTGTCAAAATATTGCTTGTCAAATTCATTTTATTCGTGAAATTGAAAGCGATAATGTTCTGTCTGTCCATGTCCGCGTATTCCGGATTGCAATAATAATAATAATGAATATTACACGGTTTACAGAACTCGCCTCGTGGGGCCATGAAGCGCCTATTGTTTGAAAATTTACTTGCAAACATTTTTCCCGCTACGAATGTCCCCTTTTTCAGTAACACAATCTTCTTCGTTTACAGCATCTGTCGATATTCGCAACAGTTTTACAAAACATCAAATCTGATGTTCCGCCTTTAAATTTCAGCCCTTGAAAGTCAACTTTTGCACAAATAGCGAGTGAAGGGTTCAAAATATTCTTGTCGTTATTTTCACAAACTGACACACTTGAATTAATTATGGAACTTTGATTATTTTCACTTATTACCGCCATTATTACGCTTTAACACTGCTAAATCACCTTAAACATTCACAACTGCTTCATATACTTCGGCCATTTTGTAGAATATGATGGAAGAATTATCGAGTTCCGAGCATGAGTCGGATTGTGTTATTCTGAAGGTCTCACGCAACCCCACCATTGAACCAAACAAGTAAGTAAGCATGTATTTAAAAAGAATGACGAATACCAGTGTCGTCTCGTCCGGTACGTTCTCTATATCTCCATTCTTCAGTCTTCAGCATAGGCTTCAGTGTTTCCCGAACTGAGGTAATACATGCATAGTATCGTCATTTTCATGTACTTAACTGAGTTGTTTGTTAATTCCTTGATGAGAACTACTATGTATTAGAACAAATTCATCTGAAAACAATTATATATAATATTAACGTCCTTGAGCTATTAAAGTAACTGGTAAATGTAGAAAAACTGTACTATTACCAAATGCATCCCTTTTACGTTAGAGTTTTACATTTACTTTTTTTCGCCCAACATGCTCCCGAATGGTTTAATTTAGAAATTCTAAAAAGTTTGTTAAAGGAATATGTTTGGAATAATGAGGATACTGTGGATCGAGAACGTTAGGAATGAAGAGATATTAGAAAGAATAGGTGAACATAGGACTCTATGGAAGACAATAAAAAATAGGCGAGATAGGTTGGTAGGACACCTTCTCAGGCATGAAGGTCTAGTCAGAGACATATTAGAGGCAGAAACAGGAGTTAGGAGGGGCAGAGGTAGACCTAGATTAGATTAGTGTTCGCAAATAGTTAAGGATGTGGGCTGTTCTAGTTTTAGGGAAATGCGAAGATTAGCTCAGGATAGGCAAGGATGAAGGTGCGTGTCCACTGACGACCCTATGATGATGAAGATGAAGTTATTCTTAAAATTAACTGTTGTTTTATGACTCATACACTTTCTTCTCAAATTTAACTTTAAAATAACTGACAATGAAACGCCTTCTTGAACAAGATTCAGTATCGTTTCTTCTAAAATTGAATCGATGTTCATAATGAATTGTTTTGCTCCTTAAATTATGCTATCAGTTCCGCCTTTGTTTTTAACAAGAAAACGTGACGCACCTAAAATGACGCATTTTTATTTGTGAAACAGTGGCGTAGCATTCTCGTAAATATTTACAAGGTTCGTGACAGAGCCAAATGCGTTTTGAATTTATTGAGAAGTATGCAATTTAAATTCCAGCAATTCTTTTGATTTTCCCAATTTTTACGCGATAAGAAATGTTTAAGAGTTAACAAAATACTCATTACGTTTAATGGTTCACGTCTTTGCTCTGACGGATTTTAATTTTTAGTTGGCGGATTTTCAACGAAAGTGTTGAATTGAAACAGTTTAAACGTCCCTATAATGTTTATAAGCACTAAAAGTCCGCAATGTGACAAAATCATGCTTATAAGTTCTTGTTAGCTGATCAAAATAACAAATAATTGAATATAGTAATCAATAAATAATATAAATTAGAAAAAACGATCAATCCCAATATAATCTTAATTACCACAAAAACATCTGTAATTTGTATGATCAGTGAATATTTGTCTTACCTGTATACATCGTTATAAAATGAATGCAAAAGTTTAATTTTCGAATTAATGTATTTCTAGAGTGTTTCTATGGCGTAAATATATTCTACGAGATAATTATGCGGGAAGTGATAACTAATCAGTTTAATCAACATAAAAAGTTATTACATAAATCTGTCATTTATATTTAATCAATTTTCCAAAATCAAAAAAATTTGAAGGTACAGTACCTTTTACGTTACTCACAAACAACAGCTAGATACTCTTTTTCAAATTCATTCATTATTTTAAATACCTACTACAAATATAAATTTAAAAGGTATTACCAATAAAACAGAAACGAAGGTGATTCCACTAATAAAAGAAACATACTTTTCATAAACAAAATTAACAATTAAATTGCATATAGAGAAATTTTTGAAAATAAGTTATTATTTTTACGTTTTCTATTTTTGCAGAAGATGAAAAACAATAACAGCTTTAAAACATTTTTGAGAACTCATTAAAAGGGCTTAAATATGTATAATAAATAAGGAGTCGTTTATAAAAAAAAGCGGAACTCTCTCTAGAATTTTCACTTGTTCACTGAAAAGCATATCGTCAAACTCGCTAGGGTACATTTAGTTGAGGTAGAACCTGAAGGAAGATATGATGGTAGATTTTGGAAAATACTGAAAACAGCGAATTTAAATTTCAAAAAAAAAATTGCATTAAATAATGTATGGTGTATCATTAAAGACAGTACAATTATTGTAGGGGTAGATATGCAGGAGAAAAAGATTAGTATGCTTAGACTTGCAGATAATATAGCAGTATTAGCATCTAGGAAAGAGGAGTTAAAGACAGTTTTAAATAAAATGGAAGAGATATTGAGGAAACAGTATTGAATAAAAGTAAATAATTGTAAAACAAACATACTGGTATGCAAGGGAAGAAAAAGTAGCGAAAGGGCAAATAGAAGATGAAAAATTAGAAGTGGCTGATTTTAGATATTTAGGAAGTCAGATAAGTCAGGACGGAAGGAGTAGTAGGGATACAAAGCAGAGGATAGCGCAGGATTGAGTCGCCTTCAATAAAAAAAAGTCACTTCTATGTTCGCGAACGATTAATTTAGAAATTCGGAAAAGATTGTTTGGATCGCGGTGCTGTACGTGTGCAAAACATGAACGGTGGTCGCGGCGGAAAAGAAAAGATTAGAAGCGTTCGAAATGTGGTGTTACAGGCGAATGATGAGGACACCTTGGGTAGAGAAGGTTAGAAATGAATAGGTATTAGAAAGAGTAGGAGAACAGAGGACTCTATGGAAATCAATACGAAATAGGCGAGATAGGTTAGTAATTATTGTTCGCAAATAGTTAAAGATGGGGGCTGTTACAGTTTTGGGGAAACGCGAAGATTGGTCAGGATAGGAAAGAGAGAAGGTGCATGTTCAACCAGTTTTTGGACTGACGATCTTATGATGATGATGATGGTGTATGGATAGAGTAGGGGACAATTGACGCCCGAAGAATTATCAGTATTAATTATTTTGCTTTCCTTTTTTTCAGTTTTCAGTACTGTAGAGGAAGGTGTAATTTCGTAATCATTTTTAGTCAAATTTAATCATCACTAGAATTTTTTTTTTTAATTTGTTACCATTGTATCTATATAAATACTATCGGAAAAACCTCCTTCTTTTACCAAGTTTTGCGTTCTTTTCAAAACTGATTTGTATTTTTGTGTGTGCGTGTGTGCGTGTGTACGTTATTCCTGGGCCTAAAAAAGGGGAAAAAAATATTCCATTTAATTAGTTTATGAATGAAGTAAATATTTTCTGTACTGCAATTAAAACTTCATTTTTTTCACTTAATAAAACACATTTTTATACCGTCGTAGGTATCTATAAAATTTTATTTAACGTAAGTATTAACCATTCGATAAATTTAAATGAAAAGAAACTACTAACAGCCATTTTTCTACATGCCTACCTAATTGTAATATCTTTTATATTATATCTACCAACCTAAATACATTTAAATACGATTTTAAACGAATAAACACAGTTATCACACATTTATAAATGTAAATTGTCACATAATAACACGCATTTATAATGAATTATTATTATTACAATCCAGTAAATATTTACCTACTTCAAGAGAGTAATTTTTTGGTTTTAGTACCTTCTGTGTACATATTACTTCTTAGTTTCATTCCTATCTTCTCTCTCTTTAATTTTATTTCCATGCCCATCTCCTTTGATAATAACGACCATATTGAGCGTAAGAACGGCCAATATGGCGTCCAGCGGGTCCATGAATCCTCTCTGTAGCCATTTTGGAATGGTGACTCTCGCGTGCGAAAATCCTAACTTCTGCAAAATGTAATCGATACCATATGGTTCTATGTATTTCCCAGCAACGCTCAGCAAACGAACTGTGGGCTCAAGGTGCCACGTTTTGCAACTGAAATTTCGCCAGTCTTTCGTGAAAGGATCGTCGTATATTTTTTTGACTTGAGACGATTGACTGCTCGTTGAAGATGACGAAGACATGACTGGACTGGATTTGTCACCGTCTATGCTCACACGTTTTTCCATATAGGAACTCATCTGTAAATTAAATTTGTTTGACTGTGATTAGATTGATGTCAAAATCTCGTAAAAATGGAAACATTAAAATGATCTTTTAGAATTATTACTAATAACATAAAAAAAGATGGAAGACGACTGCTATATTTCAAATGTGATGTAGTGCCTACATGGATTCCAGATTGATGTTTTACAAAATATTTTCTGATAAAGGTACAAATAACAAAAATGGAAACAGATTCACTTACCAGTTTTTCTCTTCCTTGCAAATATGACGTAATCAGATCGTGAAGGAAAAAGAACGCTTCAGCATCCACCGTGACAAAAATGTGATCTTCGAATTCTGTGATAAAACTGCATTCCACAACCGGTTTTTCCCCTGCAAAAGAAAACATTAAACCACATTGCCCTTTTCTCTTCACCCAAAAATTGAATCGTCTGATAATACCTGATAAATCGGGAATACTAAAACTTTGTAAATGTTCAGTCTTGAGGTGTATTTGAAGACTAGGAAGTGCAAATATCACTTCTCGATTATGATTTGGATCAACCAACTTTTGTCCTCCTCGATTCCTTTCCATTGAGTTGTTGCCATCAATTTTTTCTTTCTCCAGTGATGGGAATCGATCCACTTCTACGTTATAAAAATAAAATAAAGTAAAACTCATTCAGAATTATGAATTTAGAAAACTTACCATCGATCTGACTACTGGCAAAAGCATAATGGAACCATTCCTGTAAACTTTTGAACTGTGGAGGGAAAATCACACTTCGTGATACCTTACAAACAGTAGCCATGGAATGATGGGTCTTATAAGTGCTTAGACCTAAACTGCAGGTCAATGTTTGCACAATGTGGACATCTTGAGCTGGTGGGGTCTCTATAATAAAAAGCAAGTTACGTTTCATGCCCATGGTGTGGATAATTAACAAAAACAAATTTTTTTTTCATGTGTGCAATAATTCATAACTAAATTTTTTTATATTTCCAAAAAGCGTTGACATATTTAAAGCTATGTTTCTTCTTTTAATCAAAAAAACTTTAGGAAAAACGATCATACAACCAGTAGATTTTAATTCTAACTTCTATCCAATCAGTTCAAACTCCCTAAAGAAAGTACCATTTATTGAATCTATTAGATCTAGAAATTGAACCTCCTAGCTACCTCCTTGATTCATAATCCAAAGAATAATTGATCAATTATTATTGTGATAAATGTTACCTGTAGCAGATGGTATTTCTTGGGCTTCGGTATTAAATGTTATACATGGCTCCTTTAAACTGAATAAGGCCCAAGATTTGCTCTTGAAGTTAATCCCATGGAAGCATGCTAAGGAGATGTTATTTCCATGCAACTCCATCGTCCCTCCCAACACCGTTCCATACGGTGGTAATGGTATGTGCATGGTACTTAATTTCAGACCGGCAACTTTTGCCAAAACTTTTTGCCAATGTCTATGATGTTTCGCATCATTTATCATGTGCTGCTGTTGTTGTTGATTGGGATAACCTTCTCGGCCTAGCAAAAAGAAAGCAAAAACATTAACTTTAGATTTGAATAACCATTTTTTTGTTCTTACTTTTTTGGGGTGTTACTTTAGGAGGTTTGGCAGCCTGGGAAAATCCACTAAACGCTCTCTTACTGCTATTAAATTGTTGGGAAAAGAATTCTTCAAGTTTGTTGAACATTTTTAGTAAATCGGCTGTTGATGATTTTGAAATCATTATTTGTAATTGGTCCCAGTTCATATCGCCATGAATAAAAATACTGGCAGGCCTGCAAAAATATATCTTTTAACTGCCCGAAATAAATTCTTCAGTTATAAGAAAATTTTAAAAACAACTAAAAAATAGTAAAACTATTGCTTCCTGTGTAGGTATTACCTACCTTCTTGTTGGTATAAAAGATCCTGTACCCGTAGGTTTGTTCAGTTTCCATTCATCTCTTAAATTGACACTTAGATCACTCACTCTGGTCATTAGAACAGACGTTGCCATGTAATCTAGCCTTAATTCTAATGCTTTCAGTCTTAATCCTATCGTGTGATCGGGTTCTAAATCAGGTTCTTCTTTGATATGAGCTGAAATAGAATTATAGTTATCATTATTCTCCCATATCTAGTTATCCATTTTCCATTTAGTAACGATGAGGTGTTAGAATGAGTCAAAGAATGAAAGAATTTTTTAAATTTGCTACCCTTTGTTATTATAGGTAATATTTTCAAGTTAATCGAATCAGAATGAAACTTACTGTAAGTATCAATATTGGCAATTTCAATATTACCACCAACAATGCCACCTTTCGCATCCAATCCAGACCCACCCAATCCCAAAGCAATATACATGTTCTTATGACCAGTTGAACCTATGCTAAGACGTCCTTCGCTTCTAAAGTCTTTTGTTAACCAACTGGAAAATTTACTAGTTAAGTACATGGTTATCAGATTTTTTCAGCGGTTAATAGATGTATGTTAGTCAAGTTCTACTATGTCCTTTCCATACATTATTATTTTTACCGCAGCTAAACTTACCAAACATTACCCATGACGTTTCCCATATTCATGTGGACATTTAATTTCTTAAAATTAAGTGCAAACAGCACAAGAGTTTCCCAGGCTGCTGAATTTTTATGTTCAGGACTGGGAAGTGTTCCTGAATCCATACTAAATGTTCTACCACTCTCTCTAAATTTGGATTGCCTGGATGCATCGGCATCTAATGGGGATTTTATTTTATCCTTTCCCAGTAATGGTGATTTTTCAGATGATTTTGGGGTTCTGATTTTGAATAATTAAATCATTATAGATATATAAGAAAACGTCAATAATCTTATTAAATATCTACCTTGGTTCATGTCTTTGGGAGGACACTCCTGAGGAGTTTAACATGGAATCGTCGTCATCATTATAAGCTGCTGACATGCTTAAATCGCCCAAGAATAGTCTTCGGACTATAGATCTACGGTACCATGCTTTAGGAAAGGCAAGAATTTCGGTAAGACGTCTCATATCATACTTAAACGATGCTGAACCTATGTCAGTAATAACTGCAAAACAGAAAGAAGAAAGAAATAATATTTTATCGATGATGCGCGTACATGGAAAATATTAGGCATCCTTAAAGTAAATCCTTAATATGCCTAAAGAATAAAAGGCTTTTATAAGTTTTAAAATCCTTTTAGTAAACCCTAGAATTGTCATTGTATAGTTGGAATTTATGTAGTGTATTTGTGTGAGGTTTTAAGATCTAAATAATTGAGGAAAGTTGATAAGTTTCGAATGTTGCGTTATCTGAAAACCCGTTAATAGTTTCTTGCAAGTGAACCACGAACGACAAGGGTCCTGAAACGCATACTAGCTCAATAATTCAACACTGGGTACAGCCAAAGTATTATTTACTTATTTATAAGGAAGGTTTTTTTTCTTCTTCTATAAGCTGTTACAAGAGAAACAATAATTAGTTTACGAATGTTTAATTTAGCAAAGATACAGTAAAACAGTAAGTTGTAATAACCTTACGACCTTATAAGCATAAGCATACTGCCTAATTTCAGAGAGAGAAAGAGTCGTAAAATTTCGTACTTGCTCAAAATTAGAAGCAACTATATATACCTACAGTTTTAGAACAGGTATATATATACAAAATTGATCTTTTTTCAATATAATGCCTAAGAAGGAACAAAAGACAATTTAGCGTGTATCTTCTGAACTTCGTTAAAATCTTTTAAGATCTTTTCGAGTATAGTATAAGATACAATTTTTACTTTTTAGGATACCCTGAACAAAATGTAAATAAACTTTGTACAATTTTGATACTTTAATACTCCTGTACGTATTATTATATAATATTAAGAAACCTTGTAATTGTTATCAAGATTACACGCGTCCGAAACCAAAATAGGCGCAATTTATAAATTATACGCTATCTACTTATTATCTTGTTTCTCTGAAAAGATTATCCCAAATGGAGGTCGAACTAATAAAGCATCCTTCACATTTACGCACACTGAAACTATCTGATATATAGCAAGAAAAAATACTTCTACATACTTAATCCTTGTCCGCCACCCTTATAGTTCTAACCTTCCTATTCACGTGCCGCCCATCAGGAATTCAGCTTAGTATGCTGAAGTCTACATTCTACATATTTTTGAGCACTAGCTCGATAACGTAATTTCAAAAAATAATAGAGCACTGTATCAACCCCCCGAGCACTTTCACACTCTGTATCAACCCCCGTTCTGGCACTGTTTACCTACTTAGAAATGTAGCCCCCCCCTTTTTTTTTGAACATGTTACTGTAAAATTTGAACAAAGTGCGGATGACGTTGAAATCTCCTGTCCAGTTCTTTCAGATCGTTAATTTAACAAGCTTTTTTATTTATTATCCTAATACGTTTTGGTATTTAGATAAATACCAATAATATGTATTATAACTATATGTCTAGTCAAAGGCTTATATGGCCCCAATTTGAAATTTAATCTATTTAATGCATTTAGGGGTTTGTCTCAAGAAGCTCATTAAACCTAGGTAAGAACAATCTTCTGCGGAGCGCCTATATTTCGACCTTATAAATCATTCATTACTTTAACTTAGAACCGAAAATAGATTTTGGATAAAAATTGTTTTAAATAATTAAAACCTTTAAAATTATTTCTTATTACATCATGTAAAATACACGTATGATGTATAATATGCAAATTCTTTTCTTTTTCGTGTATGATGAGGATACTGTGGATAGAAAAGTTTAAAAATGAGGGGGTATTAGAAGAAATAGAAAAACAGGGGGCGCTATGGAAGTCAATAAGAAATAGGCAAGATAGGTTGGTAGGACAATTTCTCAGGCAAGAAGAAATAATTAGAGACGTATTAGAAATAGAAACAGGAACTAAGAGAAGCAGAAGTAGATCTAGATTAGATTACTGTTCGCAAATAGTTAAGGATGTGGGATGTTCTAGTTATAGGAAAATACGCATATTAACTGAGGATAGGACACAGTGGAGGTGTATGTCCACCCGGGGCGCAGCCTGAATTTACCGCTCTTCCTATTTTTACAATTATGCCTTTTGCCCTCCCCCCTATCTTTGACTTAAATTCTTCGGGATTGCAGTCTCTTCTGTCTTCATTTCGTCCGTCTCAACTTTCTCACCAGAATCACCACCCATACATTCCCACGATTCCTGAAAGCGGGCTGAAGAGGGCCTTCCGCCCTACCTTCCGGCATAGTCTGGAGGGACTACCCGCCCACCAGCATTACTGGTTGGTGGGAATGAAACACCCAAAAGTTTTTTTTTTAGTAAAAAGGTGTAAAAAGCGTTTATTATTATCGAAAAAATTGAAAATACATGAGATTATTTACAAATAGCTCTCCTTATACCAAAAGGATATTGAGGATTCATCTTAGGATTTATAAAGATTTCGGCTCTTCAAATAGATTATACCGGATCTTCAGTATTTTTATTGTCGTTTTCTTTCCATACTGTTGCAATAAGTTTCAATAACTGAGGATTCTGCATCATTTTGCTGATGGCTGGCTTTTATCAAATTTACAATAATATTATGTAGTGCTAAATGTAAGTAGAATATAAAAGGTGTCTTGCTTATAAATATACGTACACATAGGCGAAATCTGTAGTACACCAGACTCATGTTTCTGTTTTTATGCAATTGTTACAATTCTGCGACCTATATTTTTATACTATGGGAGCTTAGACTAAAATAACGGCCTTCATCCCTATCACAAAGTGAACTGTTAGGGTTCGACCATTCGACTTTCAGGTTTTGTTATATGGGCTTGCCGTTTTTTCGATTAGCTACAAAACAGCTTTTCTCGGTAGACCCGATTCTATCTAATACTGAAGAAATCATTTTTGCCGCCCCCACATTTGTACCGCCGGGGGCCCGTGGTCCCCTATGTCCGCCCCCCCCCCATGCTATACAGAAAAAAGATCAAACTGTGGTTACCTTACTATTTGGGACGATAATTAGCTTTACTAACAATGAAAAATTTAGTTTCTAAAGTCAATTGAGAAAAATGGAACCCTTACAGTTTTGTCATACCCGTCTGTCAGAAACACCCTTGTAGTTCCTGCGGTTTTGGGTATATCGTAATATACCAATCTCATTTTACATACTTATTCTACAAAGTAATTCCAATACCAATACCAAACTTTTACTGGTTTTCTAAAGAGATCAACAATGAAGATATTCAAATATTTGCATATTTCAGTAGATTAAGTATTTTCCTAACGAGCTTAATAGTTGGGAATATATACGTAGACTGTTCGTTCCTGAACAGCAATTTATCTTCTATTTAATCGAATTTTGGAGGTCAAAGTGAAACGTAACAACTTATCGCATACGTAATAACGGTACCACTGGGATGACGTCTGAATAAGAGCGTGTACCGTGCCGCCAGCGTCGACAGATTACGTTATCCATTACGTTAGGTCAATAAAAAAAAAATCAAAAATAGTAAGTACAGATGAACCGAGCTCTCCGACCTTGCCCAGCCGTACCTACATGGATGATAGCCTTGGCCGGGAAGCCGGGGATATATCTGGGTGAAGTTCATTGAGAAACCTCCACAGCCGAGGCCGTGCTCTTGAAGCGAGGTCTCACTGACGCGCGAAAAAAAAAATCAATGCCAAAGCCTTGGCCCAATGTCGCGAGATTTGTACGCGCGAACGAGGTCCCGATATAATAAAAGCAAACTTGAACTTGAAATAGGCCCGAAGGTGAAGCCGGAATTGTCGAAAAGCGATGTTTCGTTCAGAGCATAAACCACGGGTCGATTGTGCGGCCTTGCGCGCACATTTAACGAACGGCTTTTTTAAAAAATCTGATAAGTATACGAGGCTCGATCGAAACGAGTTTTTTTTTCTTGGTAAATCATAGAAATAGTTATTTATTTGACTTTATAATTATCAAACGTTAATGGGAAATCAATTTAATATCTTTTCGCAATACATTACCTGAAGTTAATGACGAAATATTTATTGTTGCTGTCACACCCTCGCCGGGAATCGAACCCGGGCTTTTAACGTTACGTACTCTACCACTAAACTACATACGATTGGTAAGGTGAGGTAATCCGTAGTGGAAAGAAATTAAGTTGATATCAAATTTATGTTCCATAATTATTAATCGTAAGATATTAACTTTCTTAAATAAGTATTGATTTATTTGCCTGATGCAGCCGTTTTCCCTCGAAAAGGTTTGACGTAGAAATCGGTCATTTTAAATTATTTTTAGGTATGTCATGTGGCATGTTGAATTTTCTAATATTTTTGAAAATAGTCTCGAAAATGTCAGTGGAATTTACCTAAACGTTAAAGGAAAACTGTACCGATGACTTTGTTTAATAGACTTTTTAAAATTTTAAAACGTTTTTTAATGCTGAAGTCAACAATAGAAAAATGTATGCTCTAAAATCTAAACTGGTACAGACAAAGGTAGAAAGAATAGAAAAAGAACGGAAGAAATTTTAATGGATGACTAATTCAGGTTTAGAAGAAGTAGGGGAACATTTTACATGTAATAGTTGAAACCGATAGAAAAAAAAAAGAACATAGAATTTGTTGATCAAGAAAAAACTTGATAATTTTTTATGGGAAAATATTATAAAAATACTGAACAATGTAGGGATGTTTATATAAAGAGCAACAGGTAGTTATAGACTTTGGACAATAAAGTAAAGAAGTAAACATTAGGAAGATTTTGTTAAAGACAGGGCAGCATTACGAATCTAGCATAAAACGGGTAGGATAGCCTTAAATAAAATAAGATAGGATAAGAATAGAAGACGACGTATAACAAGTTGGATAATTTAGAATGAAAAAAGCGATAGAAATGTAAACTGGGGTCTTTTGCCAAAAAAAAAAGAAATTACGTCTGTTTATCTGTACCTGTGCAAAACGTGGGCGTTGAAAGATATTAAAAGTAGGTAGAATAGGTCACAAGAAGAGGTATCAGAAGGAATAGGAGAACAGAAAACGTCATGAATGTCAGTAAGAAATAGACGAGATAGGTTTTGTAGAACATTTTTTGTGGCATGAACTAATTACGAACTTCTTTGTAGTTTTCGGAAAAGATTGGCTCAAAACCTTATGAGGATGATAGTAACGGTTTTTTAATAGATTTTTTTATGTAGAATTTTTCTATTTTCCTTTTTCAAAATATTTTGATCAAAACAATTCAATTTAATGAAATACGTAATTTCAAAAGAAAACTGAGTCCAAAATTTTTTAGATGATACCCTATAGTTAGTAACTGTGATAAAACAAATTAGGAAGGACAATACATTAATGTTACACTATTATATAATTTACTAATGCATTTGGCATCAACGTTTCCGCCGCACGTAGTAATAATCATACATTTATCTAATCAATATTCACCTCACAGAAAATGCTATTATCTTACATATTCGTCAGTTTTTCCTTGCAAAACAAATCATATCTACCTAGTAGATATACTTTATTTAGAACTGAAAACAGGAAATTAAATTAACTTTACCTGCAAGGCGATCACATTACACATTACCTTTTTATAGTGTAAAAATTATTAACTCTAAATATAACCATGGGTAATAAAAAAATTGCATTTTTACTAGTTGTGTGAGAATATATAAAACAAAGTAACTTATAAAAAGATCTAAACAAATTATTTCCTTGAGTTTCCCCTGTTTGAAATTAAAGTTATCTAACTTGGAAAAAGTAACTTCTGATTTTTAAAAAAATTGGAGAGCAAAAACGGTAACACATAAAAGAAACAATGTCTGTAATACAGTTTTGATAATTAATTTTATTCCTGTTATTTTCACTCATTAGTAAATTCCCTGCAATTCGATATTTTCAAGCTAGAGTCATAAAAGCGACTTTTTCAGATCTGCTAAAATAAGCATGGGTGAAAAATTTCTCTTTTTAACAAAAATTTCAATTTCTCATTGGGCAGGTACTTAAATTAGATAAATTAAAGTGAACTTACTTGAAAAACGTATAACTGCTCGGCTTTGGTCTGATCCCAGTTTTCCTTTTAAATTTTCTTGCTGAAAATTTAACATTCTCGATCTTGACAAATGGAACTTGACGAACTCGACGTTTATTGATAATGAATCTTTTCTTTCACTGTCCGATAATGGTGACCATTGCGCTTCTTTCAAAGCGGACTTTTTACCACCGTAGGGATGAAAAATATAAACCGAAAAGTCAGACATACATCCAGTAACACTAAGCCCACCCACGGCAGATGCGGCAGTGTTGGGAGTATCGTCACCAAATTCACTATAACAATGATTTTTTAAGATGCTACAAAAGGATAAACAATTTTGCCCAATTGATTCTTTTAAAAACATATTTCATACCTAACGAAGTTTCTAATTTTTTTTGACCACGTCGTTATCGTAAAATTGGTGCATATAATCTTTTTTTTAAGTTCATAATTTTTTAGCTTCACTTTTTTCTGCAACTTCCAATTTACGAAAATATGAAGATAGACATAAATAAGAACTTGATAGAAAATGTATGCATAAAGTTGAGTTCCCGCTCAGAAGCATATCGTCACTCTTAAATTGAGGGGCTACTCTTACTTTTGAATGTAAGCAGTTTGTTGCGTCAGAGTATAATTTCATTCATGCATATCAACATTTGACTCAATATTCAAAGAACGAGTAGATCCTCAAGAAAAGAATTCTTGAAATTCTACTGACTATTTTATGGATTTCAAATGGATTGTCTACTCAGCAGTCAGTACTCTACATTATGTGTATCATTTAATGCTTCAATTTTCAAAATTCGAGAGTCACCCTAATGTATATACGTACATACACCAACGTAATCGAGAGCATAGAGATATGAAGTGTGGCGCTCCACCCTTTCACTTACGAGAAACAATGAAGTAGCATACTTCCTATCTCTTTACTGACTCCACGTATACATACGTGTTTTACGGGTGAAATGAGCCGTCCCTAGAAGTTGCAATAGCTCATATTCGAAGAAGATTTCTTTAAGTTACTCGAATTTACATAAAATATTTCCCCAAAAATCTTTTTAGAAATGAAAAGTGTATATATACAAGAATAATTAAAGTACGAATGAAAATAAGGAACATCTTTCAAGTCTCACAAGTCTAAAGGTATCATAACTAACTAAATATTAAGCCAATTGTTCTAAAGTTCATAGAAAATGGAAAGAAACTAAAAACATTAAAAAATGCCTGTTAATAATTAGGTCAATTATTGTTTTATTTAGATAGAGCCAACACATATTTAGAGTTAGTTTTTGCCCAAATTCTTTAAACATGAAATATGATTCAGAAACACTGAATTTAAATCGTCCTGTAATTTCCAAACTACTGTTCCATTTTAAAACAAAATGAGTGACACAATCAATATTTCAACATTTTATGAATATTTAGAGATAACAATAATAACATAATGAAAAAATTGCCTACCTCTGTAAAAGTTCATCTTCGGCCCTTTTAGAACTGAAAATTATATCGAGAGAGGGAAGTTGCAGCATGCACTCCACTCTTGAGACGGGAAGACAACTGAACCGAAACGTGCTGGGCTGCATGTGGAAGTAGACGATAACATCTACAGGAAAACTGGCATACACGTACTGACCATAATTTATAGCGTCTTGGTCAGATAACAAAGACGTATTGGCTGAAAAAAAAAGAACAGTTAAAATAACGCATGTATTAGGGTTAAAAAGAAAAACTTACTTGTGGTGTTAAAATTCGTTTTGGCTGGTATGGGTTCAAGAGTTTGTTCCAAGAATTCCAGAATGTGCGGGCTTATGATGGTTTCTTCAGGAATGCTTTGTAACGTCATCCAAGCGAACAAGCTGGCTTTTTTCACTCCCGATTTTTTAAAGCCCAACCCTCCAGCACCTGACACCATATACATTCCATGAGGGGGTGTCACACTCATTTGAAACTGAGGCATGCTGTCTTCGCTACTTCTGCTGGAAGATGATGGAGTACAGGCGTAGTTGGGGTTGGAAATGCCATGAGAAGACGCAGAACGTTTGAGATCTGCCACTGCATAATCACCAGATGAATGGGGTTCGTCCTAAAATTTTTCAAGAAACAAAATTAAATAAAGGTCAATTGTATTACAAAGGATATCAAAAATTACCTTAGTTCCATTTGTGGCTTCCACTGGAGAATTTCTGAAATCGTGTCTTCTAAATGCGTTTTCAATTCTTTCTTCTTCAGATTGGGTAGTTTTCGGTGAAAACGAATCACCAAAGCCTCTTGGAGGAAATGATTGAGAAAAATCGGGAGATTGCGGTGAAAAAGGTTCAGATGCAGTTTGATTGCCATTTTCAACATCATCCAGAATCACCTAATACCATTATAAATAAATATTCACAATAGTAAAAAGTCTTTTGGTGTATCTTACTTTTGACTGATAATGTAGTTTAACGTCCATTCCTGGTATATGAAATATAGTTAAATCAACGAGTGACGTACTATGTGGAGTATTTCTTAATCTAGAAGAACTAGCAGTTGCAGTAAGTTTATCCTTATTTCTTCTAGAAGTATCAGGACTCCCAGCGGGAACCGGAAACTCCAGAAGCCCAGCTGAACAGCTTCTATCCTTCCTCATCCGATTCCTGAAGAATTAAATCACAATTAATTAGAAACAAAAAAAAATCCTTACTAAATTTCTTACATCTTTATTTCTTCTTCTTTTGTGCTGTCTTTCGTATGAAGAACGCACTTCCCACTATTTATAAACACTTTGACATCGAGTTCCAAGTCAATGTTGGGTTCTTGCTGCTTTTGGCTAGTTGAAGTTTGACTCAAACCACCTTGAGTGATATTTGATGTTGAGTGTTGATCTCTCGTAAAGGAACCAATAAAAGATGATCCTTCATCAAACTCATGAGAAGTGGGCAATTTTTTACGAAGTTCCACCTTTTCTCCGTCCACGTTCAAATGGCTTACCCAGTCTAAGTTTCCTTCAGGAAGACTGAGTTCAGAACTTGCAGTTGGCAGAGATGATTGTCTGAATGTTTGAAATAAATTTTTAAATAAAGGAAATAACAAAAATGGAACTTTTTGGAAAAATTCAACCAAACAGTTTCAAATCGGATATTATTAGACAACAGTTATTACAGTTGCAACGTCCTACCTTTGAAGGAGAGGAGTCTACCATGCTCTATTATCAGGTAAAAAATTTCACATTCAGACTCGGAAAACTATTTTATCTACGGTTTACACTAATGTCTGAAGTGGAAATATGTACGAGATATATTCAAAAAGTATCGCGAATTTTGTGTTTTTGTTTTTCAAAAATTATTTATTTATTCATGAATATCTACTTTGTCTCTTTCAAAGTAATCCCTACCAGATATTATACACTTGTGCCAACGTTTTTTCAATCCTGAAACTATTTTAAAAAATCATTCTCCTTCGATGCCGTCTTTATCTCCTCAATCTTAAAGTAGTTTCGGGAACAAGAGGGGCCAGATCTGGGGAATATGGTGACTGCGGAATTATTAGTGTGTTGTTTTTGGCCAAAAATTCGCGCACAAGCAACGATGTGTGAGCAGGGGCGTTATCATGGTTCAAAAGTCAATTTTTGTTCTTCCACAAATCCGGGCGTTTCTGGCGGAAGGCTTCACTTGGCTTGGCTCGTACGGCAGCTCCCATTGAGATGATTCAGCTTTGGTTTCCACGTTATAACCGTAAACCCATGATTTGTCACCAGTTATGACCCTCTGGAGCAAATCTAGATCGTCGCGGACAGAGTCCAAAAGGTCCTTAGCAATGTTTATGCGATGTTGTTTTTGATCGAAATTGAGCAATTTCGATACTTTCGATGCGACCCGACTCATGTCCAAATCATTGGTAAAAATTGAATGGAAGGAGCCAATCGATATGTTTAGGTCCTCAGAAACTTCTCTAACGGTAATTCGACGATTGACCAATACTCTTTTCTTCACTTCATCAATTTTTTCATCTGTTAGTGACCTGCTCGGGCGTCCGGCACGCTTTTCGTTGTTCACATTTTCTCGGCCCTCTGAGAACATTTCGTACCACCGATAAACGTTGCTTAGGCCCAAGGTAGCTTCACCATGTGCCACAGTCAACATTCGGAATGCGTCCGCGCACTTTTTGTTTTTCACACAAAATTTGATTCATTTTTTTGGAATAGGCAAAAATCGAAGACGAGCCAAAATACGTACAAGCAAGGCAGCAGTCAAAAATTAACTGACTATTTAATTTGACTGAACTTGAGTAGCCACAAAAAAATCGAAAATCGAATAGACGTAACTCGCGGAAATTCATAATTCGCGATACTTTTTGAACAGACGTGATATAACATCTAGATGTGTAACACTATCTAAATAATTAATTGTACTGGCAAATGTTTAATGTTACCATGTTGTTAACAAAAGAAAAACTGAACCGGCATAAATTCAGCATTTGATTCTACAATGACCAACATCGGTACCTACCAGAAAGTACTAACCTGCATATATTTTGCGCGTCACTAAAGGTAACCCTTGGTCCTGCTGTGTTTTTAACTCTAAGCGAAGCGGATCTTGATGGACCGGACTTTGGTGAGCTTTCATAGCTACCTGAATTGATGCTACTTGACCCTATTTGACCGTCTTCGGGACTAAAATCAATTGGTCAAGGGTTTTGTGATACATGCTTTAACGATTATTTTGTGAGTAAGGTGTGAAAAACTTTGTGAAACAATTTGTTTCCGAACTGTTCGCAGAACAAAGAGAAACTCAACACACAATTTAGATTTATTTTAGGAAAAAGAAGCATGTTTTCCTTCTGCCAACATTTCGTTGTGCTTTGTTAAACAAAAAATAAAAATAACAAAAAAAGTGTAAAACGTAGTCTGTGTTAAGTAATCATTTGAAACTGAGGCATGCTGTCTTCGCTACTTCATAAAATATACCTGTATCTGTACCGTTCCATGGTTTCAGGATGGGTATCGGCGATTGGACTTGGAACCATAAATGACTTGGATCTATAGGCGTTAGATCCAAGTCCCAATTTACCTTTGGTTATCGACGATGCTTTCACACTTTGTCTTCTGAGTTTTTGAATCATGTCCCTAATTATATAAATTGTTTTAATAAAACAAAGAAAGAATAACTTAATACATTTTAAAATTACCTTCTAAAGTCCTTGTAAACCATCGCTTCAAGTTCATGAAGTCTTTTCAGTTCCAATTCAATAGTGCCGTGAGAGGCACCTAGAGATCTTAAGTCATTTATGATTTTTGCCTGCTCATTCATTTCCCGTTCTATCAGTTTTGATCTCTGTTTATTGTCTAAGGTAGGATCAAAAAGGAAAGATGGTAGTATACTTTCCTGAAAAAAAACAATTAAATTAAAATCGAAATGCATTTTGTACTGTACCCACTGTATCACTTACCTGAGAAGTCCTTGTTCCGTTGGTAGGCTCATTATCATCACTGTCATAATCCACGTGAATAGATGTGGGTGGATCTTCAGCTCCTGTTAAGGAAGTCAAAGTGTAACCCAAGGCTGACAGTTGTTTACCAACGTTGATATCTAAATGGATATCAACACCCTCCATTTGCCATTGGACATTTAAAAACCATTTGGCGTTTTCTAAACGAAGAAAACAAGAATAACGATTTAGGCCTATTTTTGTTAAGTTCTTAAATGCCTCTTACCGTTTGTATGTTTGGCTGCAATGGTGCGGCTGCAAACTTCATAAGTCCCTTCACTAACCACACACAAATTCATAATGCTGGTGTCGGTCATATCCGGTTTCCAATCGTCCAATGACGTTTCAAAGTCATCAGCAAAACGAAGACATAGATTTGAAAATTTCCCCTTACTTACCAAGGATCCAGAACTGCAGGCTACACAGAAAAATGAAGTACCAAATCATTTCAAAACAAAGGTTCAGATTATTTCACTTACCAGATATGCTGGTGTTCTCCAGAGTTACCACAACAGCTCCTCTGCTATCTTCGTAAATGCTTCTTTGTCCCCAGGAAGACAAGGGAAGAGAATTCAAAGGTAAACAAATGCCCATGTCTTCAACAGTGAGTTGTAAAAATAGTGTTCCTAAATGTTGGGCACTTAACTGGCTTGTTATTTGTCCAAATTGAAGCTTTTCATAAACCTAAATATATACAAAAAAATGCAAAGGGGACCCACAGAAGAAGAGAAATGAAATGTTACCTGGTGGGTGGCATTTTGAACATCTGGATTCAGTGTTGCTCGTTTTTCATTCCAATAATCATATGCATTTTTGTAATTCAGCCAAACAAGGATGGCTTTATCCACAGCAACTGGTTGTACATAAATAAGAGGTCTTTTTAATGTGATAAGGACCACTTCCTTATCTTTTCCGTCAACTATTTCATCCTTGAAGAAAATTATTTTAAAATTAACAGAAGGAGTTATTTAGAAGACTAGAAGCATTACCTGGAATGCATTTCTTAGAACGATTCTGGTATTAAAGAAAGCAAATTGTTGGAGTTCAGCTTCAGCTTCCTCAAATAAGGCGTTCCTTAAAAGCTGCCCTAAAGACAAATTCAAATCCACTTGAGCTCTTCCAAACAATCGCGCTGAAGAATTACTCTGGTTGCTACCAGAAACATTTTGAACTCTATTGGAAAGTTCCAAAGTTACAGCTCCTAGAATGAATGTATCAGTATGACCAAATGCACAAAAATGATGCTTAACATACCTGTTTCGAGTCTTACCGCACTGCTTCCAGCTGTTGTAGCTGTCAATTGTATTCTCTGAACAATAATAATCAGTGAGAAGAGGAGACGATCCAAATATGAGGGTTCTTCTGAATCTTCTAACCATATGGGAACTGGTTGTTCGCCCCCATACACTTTCTGGATGACTTCATTCACTTCCTAAAGAGACAATAATTAAATTTTTGTTGAATATCGAAGTATAAAAGCTTACCTTCATGAATATATTTTGTACAAAGACTAAATGATTCAACAAATCCGTAGTCAAACTATGTTCAAAAACTCCAATCTCAGCTTGGGCACTTAAGTAACCACCTTGTCTAAAAACTACACCTTCGGTGCCTTTGTGACCGTCCGTTCTAAGTGCTCCAGTTGTTCCTTCTGGTACATACTCTGCAGAAACATGAACTGCTGGCAATGAGATACATGCTTCCGGTGGAAGATTGACTTCTGCCACTTGATTTATCTACAAAGAAGGTCATCAGGTAATAAATAGAGTTTTAAAATAAAATGCATATTATAATTACTGGCAACTTTGTTGTAAAACTAAGAGAGTGGTGGGGCAAGTCAATGGTGAACTTGGCTTTGTTACCAGTTGTTCCCATACTCTTTACTTGATCCATTTTATATTGGGATTGAAGAGAAGGAAGAAGAGCAGCGGTGACACTTAAACTCTGAAAATTTCAGTATGAGTTAGCAAAACCTTTATATCTCACAAAATATTTCTACCTGTAACATTATTGAAAACTGAACAACTAGAGGTTGGATTAGACTAGACTCGTTGACATGATGCCGACTGATAGATTTTTTAGGCATCGCCTTAGTTTGTTGACTTGGAGAATCTTGCTGAGTCTGATCGTCATCAGGTTGCTGACCCCTAGAAAGTCTACTGGAGGTCCTCGTCACTCGTAATTCCTAAAGAAAATGAAGGAAATTTTAACTAAGCAATATTATGATCGTCATTTCTTTTAATTTGAATACCTGTAACGTGGAACTGAGTTGTTTACTGCTTCTAGTAACCATGCCATGTAAAGCAACAGGATGTTGAGGGATTTCTATAATAACCGCCCCAATTGTAAAAAGTGCGGAGTTTTTATCTTTGCCCTTCTTACTAACACTTGAATATAGAGCTTGAGATTTTCCAACCGTTGTTTTGACGACAGTCCTTCAAAATCAATTTTAATTACAACCAAAACTATGGCAATGAATCAGAATAGAAAATCTTACTGTAGCTGATTGGGAGCGACCCCCTCCAATAATTTTATATACGTTCTTCCAACTTGACCGGTTACCGAGCATTCCAACGAAACGGGTCTAGATTTATTTCGACATGTAACACTTGAATGCAATCCAGTTATTTCAGCGTCCAATTTTAGCCCTGAAAGGGTAGCCAGAAGTTTTGTTTTGTTTATTCGTGCAACTCCAAACACCATGAGTTTAGTTCTTTCATTTGCCTCTTTAATAGGTAAAGGTGTAGTTTGGCCTTGCTTGTCGAATTCATCGGATGATTTTACTTCAGTCAGGATGTCATACTTTCTGTTACCCTTATAGTATTCGGAAATATCTCCCGTAGCCATAGAAAATCTACAAAATTGGCACTATTGCAATATCAAACTATAAAAAGCGTACTATAAACCTAAGGCCTAATTAAAGAAGCTCATTATACGTCATTAGTTGCAAAGTATCAATCTTTTATTTGAACTTCCTCAATTTCCAGAAATCATAGGTATGATCAAGAATTTAATGAAGTTTAAATAAGTCGATATTGCAACAGTTTGAAATAGTAGTTGTTCCCTGGGATCCTATACTGAAAATAATTAATGGATCTGATCTCGAAAACGGGCCAAATTATACTGTGTAAGATATTACCAAAAAATTGAATTTTCTAAATACCTGTGAGTGATAGTTTTAGTGTCTGGCATGGCTGCATACAAATCCAACAGGTGATAGATGGTTTTCCAGCATTTTCCTGTACCAGTGCTTCCCCTTTCTGAAGACACGTGGGATATATGATCCAGGGCCGATCCAGAAGGGCTGCTAGTGAATGCCGGCGTTCCAACCCCTTCATTTAAATTCACGTAGCCCTTCACATTTTTTCCAGTCGATCTGAGTTTTAGAGTAAACGTTTGAGGTCTTGACCTGATGCTAGGAGATGGTGAGACAGTCGGTTTTATCTGTGATGTCACTGAGCCGACATCAGACGTCTTGGATTTACCACCACCAATGACATTTATCTCTTGAATATCTGAGGTGCTTGATTGGTGTTTCAAGTCAGTGTGATCGCTCACACTTGACTTTGGAGGTCGAATTTCAACAGGTTGCTG